TCAAGATGGAGCCAAGACACGTTACGCTCTTCCGTCTTCTTTGTCCTCTTCACTTCTGGCTCGGCACTATCTTTCCTTGAAGGTATCCGGATGGGAATGCGGGTGTGCCCCAACACTCCCAACACTCGAGGGATGTGCCGGCCTTCCACCAGCCGCTCGTCATGTTCCAGCACTCCGGAGAGAGGGAAGAGGGCAGCCTCTGCCGCGTCACCTGTGGGGGAAACATCTACATCTTTATCAAAATGGCAGTTTTCTGCATTGTAACCAGAGTGGAATGGGTAGGACCAGACCCATAGTGGAAACCGGGACAATCTGGCGATTTCCCGGCGGGCCGACTGATAAATGCACCGCTGGGGGGGAATATTATCGCAATGATGATATGGTCCTGCTATTTTATCAGCCCTACCTAATGCCAGAACTTCCATTACAGCTGGAACACAAATTTACAGTACACCTGCACAAAGGTGTGAGAATATCCCGCTTCGGTGAGTTCTGTATAAAATCCACAGGCAGAGAAATATCGAATCTACCAAATGTAATTTTCCAAAGTCTGTTTGTGGCATTTCGCCATTCCGGCTCAACAACATTGCACAACAAAACCTTACCTCGGGGCCAGCGTATGTACTCGTCTCGCAGCGTGTTGACACACTTGCAGAAAAAAAAGAAAATGCGGTGGATGTTGCCTTTCTCCAAGCGGTAGAGGCGGGACAAAGTACGGTAGCTAACGCGGCTGGACAGCAGGGTGAGGCACAGCGGGACCGTCTGAGAGAGTGACAGGCGGGCACGGCCGGTCAACCGGTTTCGGGATTGGAAGTCCCGCAGTCGGGCAGTCACATACTGCGTGAGGGCGGATAATGGAGAAACATTAGCTCACATGGTGCTGTGATGTCATCCGTTTACGACGGGATACTGAGCTCGCTTGCTATGATATGCTGTGATGGCATGGCTCTCACCTTGACTGCCTCGTTGTCTTCCCGCAGCTCTTCGGACACTTCCTCCCGGGTACTGGAGGATGCAGTAGCGGCGTCATTTCTTGACGGAGATTCGCTCGTTCGTTTGACTTTGTGTATCAAGTCCGCTTCCAGCACGTCCTCCACGGCCTGGTCCAGTCGCTGGTCCAGCTCGACGGTGGACAGAGGCTGCCAGTCCCGCTCAACCAGGTCCAGGACGGCCCGGCCTGCCGCTAAAACACAGCCGTCGACGTCCATTTGCCCGGCTAGGGAACCCCGTCATTGATCTGTACTGTTAGCCAAGTAGCTAAATGCTAACGGATGTGGCGTTCGATGGCATAGGGAAACACGACCATCATTTCATCCCAATAAAAATTTGGCTGTGGTGTGTCCAGGGGCATTTCAACAACACTTCGGAAAATAGTAACTAAGTCCGTATGAGCTAAAACCCTTAGCTTTTAGGAACACTCGGGAAATAAGATCAGTCAAATTCATTTAAACAATCCCAGTAAACAATTGGACTGTGGTGTGTTCAGGGGCATTTCAGAAACACTGCGGAAAATAGCCCCGAGTTAAATCCGTATGGGCTGGAAGGCAGCCTTATCTTTTAGGAATACAGTACTCCGGAAATAAACGCCAGTAAATAAATTATGTAATCAACTGTAACGACCTGATCGATAAAAATTAGCGTTAGCAAATTACCCGAGTCAAAACTAACTTCAGATGCGTTTAATGACTCTTCGGGAATACATATCAAGAACAAGCCAAACCCAAACGACGTCGTTGTGAACAATGTTATAAGCAGACAAACGATGAGCAACGAGCATGAAATCAGGGAAGCGTGAGTATTTTTGTAAGAAACCATTATCTGTGACCTGTTCAGGGCCTTTGCAAAACACGAGTCAAATGTTTGAAGGTCAAAGAAGGGACAAACACCAATTTTAATTGCCAATCAATTCCAACTTTTAGAGGGTGGCCGAGCCTTAACAAGACACCATTATGCAAAATGCTTTTTCTTCAGATTTCTGCAGCTATCTCCACCATAAATATAATACACTGACTTTTCAAGTGTTTATTTCTTGTTTTGAGGGGGGGGAATCTGTATCTTAGTACTGTATTATAAACAAGCAAAACAAACTTTGATCTGTTAAGATTGTGGAGTAAACAATGGGGACCAAACAGAGAAAACAAGCATACATTTCTTTAAATATTTCGGCCTGATTAAATGTTATTAAAATGATCAATATACTTGTAGGAAATGTTCTCTATTACTTTTTGCTTGGAATGGCAAAAACAAACTATTTGGGCCAAAGAAAGGAGTGAAATCCTAACAGTTTGATCAATACGAACATAAAAGCGAAAAAAGGTCTCTCCTGCTAGACGCCGTCATTGAAGCCAGTAAAGTAACAAAAAAAAAGAAACTCACAGTGAAGTAAGGCAGCCCAACGACAGCTCAAAAATAATCAATTAAATAGGAGGTACAATGCTTGGTGTTGAGCGGGTGACAGTGTTGTGACCAGTCTGGGCTGTGACATTTTCTAGCATGCACACAAACGCACCGCTCGATCAAAGAACAACAACAACAACCCGTCATTTGCTTCTGTCCAGCTGCAGATCTTGTAGTCCTCTTCCCCAAATTCTCCCCGCTCCACCCCACCCCTGTGTATTTCCTGTGTCTACCCCCTTCCCTCACTGAACGGCTTGCTCATTGCCTGTGCTGCCCGAGTCCTGCGGCTTCATGACATCCGGGAGCTCAGGCGGGGTTGAGAATGGCTCCATCCTCAGCTGCTCGAATGAATCATCTGCTGGGAAGACAAGTTGAAACTCAAGACCACCATATACACACACACACACACACACACATCTGATGGAACAACAACACAAAGTTTTTTACCGCTAAGCCGGAAAGCTAAGCCTACGGTGCCGGGGGACTGAGGCCGTGCCGTCTGGTTGGTGAAGCCGCAATTCCCGAGCGTCTGCATGTCTTCCAGCTCCATGTCGTCCTGAACAACAAAAATAACACGAGTCAGCTGGTCCACATAACATTACATAACTATCAGTGTAGGGCAGAAAAGTGGCCCAAAAATGTTAGTAAACCCGTGCCCCGCTACCTTGGTAGCTTAGCCAAATGCAAAAGGTATCGCCACAATAAAATAGGCTTTAATGTATTGAAATTAATTCAGCCATTGTTGAGTGTGGTTCTCCACCATTTTGTATCAACAATAAAAAAAAAGAAAGTCATCTTCTGTCTTGGAGAGTTTACCTTGTAGAGCCTCTGGTCCTCAGGTGGCCTCTTGAGGATGCCTTCAACAATGCGCTTCAGCTCGTATACAGATGTGGACTCTTTGGCGTCAGTGAAGATGGTCGTCTTGTGACGCCGGATCATGAGGAACACATCCTGGCGGACACAAGACAAGAGATCTATCCTCATTTTCATGCGTTTTTCCCCCTTTGGCTTTCTCTTGACTCCACCACAATGCCATTACCAGGAAATGAAACTTACTGCGTAAAAGCGTTGAATGCAATTTGATTATGATCCTATACAATTGCAGTAACTGTCAGAGGCCAGCAGAGGCCAGTACTGCACTGCAAAGCTTCCTTTGTTAGTGCATGATAAAATAAAATACTCCGTTTTTAAATGAATTCAATATTCATTTCTATCATGTATTTTTCGAACAAATGACAAGCAATCTGCATTACAATAAACAAGATCAGAGATCTTCCACATAAATGTTTTGTTCTTCTATGTTGTTACCAAAAAAAGTGTGGCGCACACAAAAGTTCGTAAATCGAAGATGACTAAAAAAACTGCTTTTAGAGGTAAATAATAATAATTGTAAGAACAATACAAAGAAAAATGCAAGAAAAATAATTTGCCACATTGACTTTGAATTTTAAGGACACATTCCTGAAATATTACGAAGAAAAGCGTCCATATAACCAGTGGCTCACAAGATAGATTAGCAAATCTCGTAACATTTATATTTTAAAGTATATGAAAGTGTGATAATAGCATTAAAACCGAAACTAAGCATTTATCAAAGTTAACACTAGTTAGCTTAGCATGAAGCTAACGCCGTGTACTTGGCAACTTAGTAGGCACAATTTAACCAGTGGCAGCTGTTATATCGTATAATTTTATGAAACGTGACTATCAACACGAAAAGCGGATGGATTAACTATATATATACAGTATAGAGAGATAAGCCGTTGGGAGATGTTTCGAGGGCCAATCATGACGAGCTACATTGCTATATCTTAGCCCAACGTTGACACACATACAGAAGCCCAAGTTTCACGCAGCAATTATTCTCAAAATTCTTTTTTTCCAAAAGGCTCGACCCTGTTTTATGTAGCGTTAAATGACGAGCTACTGAATAATGTTAATAAAACAATGTTGATTTTGAAGGAAGGTGTTCCTAAACTGCCAACTTAAGCTAGTTATATTTGTTGTCATGGACTCATGGACGCTAGACGAAAAACGGCTTTCTACGCCAACACGCTAAAGTCTTGCTTTCATGATGCGTTATCACTGACGAGTGATTTATTAATACAGCCAAGTTGTCGATTATTAATAACTGTCTAACGTTGAGAAGCTATCAGCCCGTTAGCCAAACAAAGCCAGCCTTGTGGACGTAGTCTTGTTGGTGACACATTCGCTTTCCTCTCTGACGTGATTTTTAAAACACATCAAAAACATTCCCCACAGGACCAAAAGATTGTGATTTTGCCGTCGAAGCTATGTAACGTTACCAGCGTGTATCTTATGCACTCACCATGTCTAATGGTCGACTGCACAGTGAGAGCAGAAAAAAAGAGGAAAAAAACGCCTCAACTGCACAGCGACAGCTGATGCGGCGTTCAAATTATCAACTGGACTGTCGGAATTTCCAAAGTACCGCCTTGGCCGCGGGGCCTCTTCGTGAACGCTTCGCGTAGAAATCTCGGCGACTTTATGTATGTCAATTGGTATTCAAGCTATTACACATGAATGTTTACGGATCAATGTTAAATTAGTGTCATATGTATAAGAGCGAGCTCGTAGATGGTCCCGGCTCGTCATAAACGCAACCTACGCATTCATGGACACACTATGCGTCTAATGGAGGTTTCATTTCTGTGACGTCAGACATGCGCGTTTTCTTTCAGTGTGTGAATATTTGTCACGTGTCTAAACGTAGCAGCTCTATACCTCATTCATAGGTTTTTGAAAACATAATTGAAAATGCTGTATAACCACTTAGGCTTCGTTTCAAATAATGTAACTTATGGCGAAGTGCAGTTTTAAGTATGACCACAAGGTTACTGCGAGTTAACTATCCACAGAGCGGGACCATTCTCAGTTGTTTTACTTTGAAAAAAAGTGAATGACTCGAAACTTGTTTCAAAATACAAATTTTTATTTTTTTTAAGAGTGAGCATTATTTGTGCATTAATAAATACAACTCAAATATGTGTAATGGTTGATGCTCCATGTTGCACCAGGAAAGCACTTTCTTGGATCTGTGCATCTGTGTCCTGGGAAATAAGAGGAGACATTTTAAGATCATTTTAAGTCAAAGTTTACATATGAAAACTTACGGGCAGTTCGAGTGGAGAGTGGACGAGTTCAGAATCGCGGCAGCAGAGGAGCGCAAAAGGTCTTTCTTTGGTGTGAGAGTGTTCTTGGAAGCATAAAGTGAACACCTTGGCGGGAAGGAAGATGTCCCAGTCGGTTGCATGCTCATCCACCAGATCACTCACCATGCTTGGAGCCAACACAATACAAAAAAAAAAAGGTTTTATTTCCCCCCTCTTTACAATAGTGTTTAAAAACAGTGTAAAAATATATCCTCATCCAAGATGTATCAGTTCTTGATTTGTTCCTCAGATAATTGGGTTTTTTTCAGAGTAAAAAACAAAGAAAAAAAAAACTCCCTTCCCCACCAGAAAAATGCCTTAAACTTAAATAAACACCATTGTTAGAAAAATACTTGACTGAAAATATGAACTTTTCAAGTGATTGAGTACCAATAATGTGTCACCACAGACATTGCCACGGATGATACTTGAAAGGTATCACAATCTCATTTGCTTGTGTTGTGAATAATAATACAAACCTGTCAATCATATGCTGTGTGTTCAGATCAATGGCGCCGGTGTGCGGATGCTGAATTACGAGTGCCACACTGGTTGTCAGCTGTCTGGCAAGTTCTTGATTGATCTGACATCATTTACAATGTTATTTCTTTGCTTCATGTTCAAGATGTCACATGTTAATATCACTCACCTGCCCGATGACTTCGCAGGGCAGCCTAGACAGGATCCGCAGTGGTAAGCCAAAGTGACCAATGGCATCAGCGATGTGCTTGGCGACATGCGTGGGCAGATAGAACGGCACGGCCGCTGCCTCCACCCACTTGGAGTAGTAGTCGCTTAATGTCACCACGTATTTGTGCCCGTTGTACGTCAGCGGTAGAGGACCCCGTACGTCCAAACCTAGCCACTGCCACGCCGCCGTCACCTGACACCACCCAATCAAAGTCTATTTAAGAACATTTGGATCATTTTATATGATCCCTTGTTTAAAAAAAAAAACTCACCTCAATCACCTTTTCAGGATTTAGGCCATCCGTCTACGGCAGAGACGAAACATTTGTTTAAATGGCCTGTGAGCACTCCTATTAGTCAGAGTCAATGTATTGTTAGGGCACTGAATCGCCTTATCGAATTCTTGACTTGATTAGTAATCAATATTAAATGCCCTGGGAACAGTTAAAATGTACACTGCGAAAGACCTCTTCCAAGGCCTTTTCTCAATTGAAGAAAAGTTGCAAACAAACCTCCTTGGTGGAGGTTGTAAGCACATCTGTGTCGGGTGCCCACTGAACATCCTGCTGAGAACAAAATAAATATGCATAAAAACGAGAATAGTAGAAGTAGCAGTTGTGCTTGCTGTAGTTGTTGTCATAGCAGTAGTAGTAAAAGTAGTCGTGGTAGGAGTAGTAGTAGTGATGATATCATCATCATGTGCATCACCTGCTTGGCACAGTAATCCCCATGGAAGAAATGTGGCAAGGACGCGATCTTGACAAAGGTCGGGTCCATGATGATCCTCCACCTGACCGCCTCCTCCTGCACCTCCACATTCACGTCCACGTCCACTTCAGCATTCACAAATTCTTCTTCGTCACGCCTCGTGGTCATCGAGGGCATGCCCGAACTCGTCTGCCAGGCTTTGCTGCTCACTTGCTGCCATAGGCGAGACGAGGAAAAACAATGAATCCAAGTCTGTGAGCAGTGCACTTTTGATGAGGTAATGGTCAAGTTCACCTTTTTCTGTCGTACTCTTGAAGTGCTGGGTGTCTACAATGAGATGAGTCACACTATTTACTATATTAAAAACAGACTTTCCTCAAAAAATAAACTCATCACATTTAGTGGGGATACTTGTCAACTTGGCATTTATTTAATGTACAAAAATTCTATATTAGAACACAGAAAATGAAGATGCCAAAACTGCGAGTATGCGGGGGTCAACTGGAGTAATCATTTTTATCTACTTATTTATCAGTAGTAGGACGAGTAAAGTGCATCCATCTATCCATTCTCTACCGCTTATGTGGTGCAATTTTTTTCACACTTTAATTCACATTAAGACAATAATGTTTGTACATATTTGTACTGTACAAATGCCGTACTTAAAATAAATATATTGACCAAAAACAAATCATTGATGAATAGGTGTATAATTCATGCCCAGAGACCATTAGCATTATCAACAAACCTTGGTTTTGCTGGCTTCGTCTTGAGGAAGGAATATTGTGGGCACGGCATCTTCCCGAAGCTGAACACACTTGCCACTTCGGTCCAAGTGTTGCTCCTCAAAGTGTTTGCTACACAGCACAGAAAAGCGTGAAGGCGTCCAGTCCTTCCACTTCATATTGGCGAGCCATTTCTTCAGGCGTCGCTCGTTGCACAGTGGGAACCTACAAACACATTTGTCTTTGCAACCTAACTACAACTGGGTTTAAGGTGAAACCAGAAAAAAAGTGGGATGCCGAACTCACTTGAAATACTTCTCGTCGGTATCGTCGGAGTGTTCACACTCGTAAGCACATTTATAACGACCCATTTAGAACAAAACTACCACAGAAATGTTTATTGAAATCGTGTGTTTTGCTAGCACAATGTATCAAGTAGGCAAACGTAGCGTCGAATACATCCGCTTTTCAAATTAAGACTGTTGGAAGGATTCAGTCAACCCTGATTTCAAATAGATATATAAAACTGGCTGACAGGCCAGAACATTAGTCTTAGTATATAAATATATTTTACAATATACTTTGTTTTTTTACCTGACAGATATGCGGATTTATATATCTTAACCAAGTTCGTGGACAGGAAGCACCCTTGTGGCGGAAGTTGTAGTTACCTTTTTTTCTTCGTTTGTTTATTCAGGAGTGTTTCAGATTAAAAACGCCTCCTATGGGTCAAGCGCAGCCTGCCAGTGTATTTTTTTTTGTAGAGGCGAATTAACATTCAAACATACATTTCTTAAGGACACATTTAGTAAAAAATGATAATTAACAAATTTTTAACATTCGCCCTGGTTGTTTTAGGCCAATCTTAAAACGCGTCTGAAGGGTTTGGGGCACAAATTAAGCCACATGTCATTCACATTTATGGATTTACAATGCATCCATCATCCATCCATTATCTAAACAACTTTCTACACTGCTTTTATATTTAATTTCACACAAACACTTAAAAAAAGTTTTTTTTTTTTCCAGAAATAAAAAGACAAGGTTATGGACAGATTTACTTCATCTGTCTGACACACATATCTGTGCATGTTTTCATCTGATTTTAGGCTTCCACTCCAGTCTCCACTCATCCCAGTCCAGCAGTGTTCTAGTCACGTCCCACCCGGCAGCTTCCACACCTGTCAAACAAATCCATCGTTTTATCAAACACTCTAAACAGCAGCTGTTACAGATTCCCATGTCGACTCACCTTTGTGAAATCGGTCAAACTCAGTGTCTATCAAGATGTAACTCTTGTGCACCATTTCCCAGAAATCTTGATGTCGCCCTGATGGACTCAACCTATCACTGAGCCAAATAGCTTGACACATCGCTCTGATTTCATCTCGCGTGTGTGCGTGCGCTGACAAACACACCTGTACACAGCCTGGAAGTACAGAGAAACAAGATATATAAAATGCACCGAGGAAGGCCACTTTTTAGAAGGACTTTTTTGTACCATTTGTAATGCCTATTAGGAAGGGTGCGTCCTTTCTCATCAAAGCCAAACGGAACTGCTCCGGGCTAAGAAAAATATGTCAAATTGTTGTGTACAAACATTTAAAGTGGAATTTCCGACAGCCCAAAAGTGACACAAAAATATGCCCCACAACTCAAACAAATTTTTAGGGTTACCTTTGAACAACTTCCTGAAGCCTCACACCAAGTTTGATAGGTAATGTTTTCCTAAACTCTGGGGGAAAAAAATACATATATAATTATTACTTCCACAATTATCTGAAAATATAAAGCCAGCAGTCATGTTTCTTATACCCAAAAAGACAGGTTCCTCCCGATTGGTTTCGAGTGGCGTTGGGACATATCCGTCTCGCAGGAAATGTCGCAGCACGATGGCGAGCCGCGCCTCGTTTAATGTTTCCATGACTACTGAACGCACCGCCTTGTAGTTGGCGAACAAGTGGAGGGCGGTGAAGAGGAAGAACAGGCTGATGGTCAATCTGGGAAGTGGGAGGAAAAAAAAATGAATGTCTGAATTCGGATTACAACTGGTCACTTAGCACTTACCCCGGGTTGTCCGTGACGAGTGGAATGAGGATCAAACTGACCAGGAGTCCAGCCAGATTCACCAAAGTCTCCTGGAATTACATTTTGTTGGAATAAATATCAAATATTCAATGGGTTGTCTTTGTGCAAATTGCAACTGCAACTTCAAGAGTTTGTCTTCTTTTCGGGAAAATACAACATCAATGGTTCTCTTTTTCGAAAGGTCACCTTAGCTTTTTGTCTTCTTTGTCGGAAAGCATCGTTTGTAGTACACTTCCTACCTTCCTTGACCTATTCTGTGTTGGAACTCGGTGCTCTACCAGACACAAATGCCATTACTCAGAAATATTTAAAGGAATGTTCAAAGAACCTGACTGCCATCTTTGGCGGAGATGTCTGCCATGTTGTCTCGGCGAGCTTGATGGACAGTCAGAGCAGCTCTGGTGGCTCCGCCAGCCACACCGACCACTGACTGGAGAGAACACATTTCAACTATGAGTGAGAAAGAAGTTACAGTACGACAATTTCTGTATTGTAAAATACATCTGCTTTGTTCAGTGTAACCATGGCCACTATGAAAAAAAAATACATTTTTACACTCACAAATCGAACTAGCTGTGGTGAAATAGTGGCCTCAGTCATTTCATGTACACTACTTCTATTTGATTTACCTTGAAAATGCCCGACGTGCACACAATCAAGGTGAACCAAGCAGGAAAAAATGGGGCGAGTATTTCCACGAACATGGCAATGTCATTGAGAATATCTGCAAAAAGCCTTGACAAACATTGAGACAGGGTTACTCTGTGAAATAATTAATAAAAAACATTTTTGTACTAAGCATACCTCCATTTTTTGGCCTCAGAATCCAACTTGTTTCTGCAGGAATAACAACAAAACGTTTAAAGTTTTCACTGGATGGACAAATGTAGTTGGACGATCCTTTTAATCAGTCACGGAGAGGTTTGAGTATAGTCCTTGGTTGTATATTCTTCATCTTATCAACACGTTTGGGACAATTTCTTGCATTTTAGGTTACTAGTGCACACAGTAAGATCCATGAAAGGCATGCTTCGATAAATCTGGTGAGGAAAAAATCACCTTGGCGTGTAATGAAAGGGAGACTCGTTTGGAATGCCAAGACCAAATGTGGCCCATTACTCTGTCTAAAAGGCACAGTGCTGAGCTTTACCCTTTTAGCCAGGCGAAGACGATCCTTCCCAACATGCTGGTTCCATCTAAGAAAAAACATTACTATTGAAGGGTGTCAATATACAATAAGCATAACAATGTACATTCTATTTACCTCTTAGCAGCCAGGTGACTGTGGCCGCAGCCACTGTGGCTTCCTGGTTTCCCACACCGACACCTCTGAGTGACGCCTGGGTGGCCAGCGTTCCTGACAGAGAGCTGGAGAAGGCCTGAGGAGAATGATGTTGACCATTAGGGGTGGCAACTGACAAGAACGTAAAGATTCAGATTTCATTATCGATACTGAGGAAGGCGTGTTGATGGAGTTGAGGGGAGGGATTCTGCCAGATGCTCCCAACAAACCCTCACAATACGCTTGGGTCTGCCAGGTCGGACTTCCCCCATATTGCAATTGATCACATTAAAGAAATATGACCCAAAAAATGCTTTTTGATGCAATGAAACGGATTAATGGCATTTACATTCATTTCAATAAACACATTCATTTGAGATAGGAGTAATTTAAGTTTCAAGCATGGTCATTGAAAGAAATATTCTTTTTAAGTCAAGGCACTATCATACTGCACCTGCACAGTATCCCAAAACTGGTACTGCAAGTAGTCTCCACTCACGCTGTCAGGGTACCCTTGAGGCAGAAATACGCTCTGGAATATATGAACAATTACGAAGTCAAAGAAAATGTAATAAAACCTCAGATTCTTCGGAAGGTTTCCTTACTTTAAAAACACCAACAAAGGAGTTTCCTCTCGATTCAGCTTCCCTGCCGTCCCTTCTCCTCTCCAGGGCTCCGTCCTTTACTACATACTGCCAAGATTCGCCACTGCCGTACCTCTCGGTGGCTAAAAGAGCACCGCACTCCTCCATTTGTGCTTGATGCAGGAAACCCCTGAAATATCCAATTTTCGATCTGCAATTACTGTCGATATACCACAATCACATTTGGTTTGCTTAACACAATAATTCAAGTGGGTTATCTTTTACCAAGACACAATAAAATAGCATGTTTAATTTCTAAACATTTTGTTGAAGACTCTTAACAGCACAATAACGACACGTTAAAAAGATATCCTCCCACCTACTTCCTTACCTTGTTTTTTTCCGCCTTTTCATACTCGAGTAGCCCTGATTGGTGAATTGTAAAATGGGGGCGGGGATTTATGACGTATACTGCTGACCTGCCAATTCGGCAGTTCTCCTGCGCGTCCTTTCGAACATCTGGACACTGCCACATCTCTCCCTGGCTAATCTTGATATATTTCTGCTTTTATGAGGAAACAACGCTGCAATGATAGTAGTAATTGTAAAATAATATAACCTGACACATTTGCGTTGTATAAAATCAGGTCGATTTCTCTTGCTACACCCACTTCATATAAGTGTACAATATTAACAAGGCACGATTACTTACTATTTTACTATCCTGTATTATTTGAATATTTAAGATGAATTACAGTATTTTACGGTAAAAGGTGTTTTTCATCCGCCTCGCTTCGTTAAATACCGTTCACCCTCCCAAATCGTCCTAATTGGTGCATTGGAAGCTGCGGCGAGTCTTTGGCGACGTCATTAAACGGAAGCCACCAACCGATTATGAATAAATGAGCAAAAATAAATGAAAACACGTATGAATGTAGAACATGGTTTAATACATAGAAAATAGACAATAAATACAAACTGAGTTTATAAATGGAGCAATACAATTTATTATTAGCGCAAATTCCATAGGACCTAATGCAGAAAAACAGCCTACAACTTGACCACTTTGCTATCTGACATTTTAGCTGGATATATTTATATGTATGTACACTTTTTCCCCCCTTGTCTAGTAATGGCATGCTACAAGGACACGATCTCGACGTGTGGAACGACATGAGAGAACAAAAGTCAATTTTCCGGCACAGGCCAGGACGTGATGAAATGAGCAAATGAGTTTACAAAGAAATGGACCAAGTCTGGAGTTGCTGCTGTCCATGGAACGGGTGAAAGTGGCGACACTTGCACCACCTGTAGAAGAACCCGGTAGAATCTGTATTCCGTCTTCGCAACACAAACAAACAAAAATATGAACATCATCTCACACACATCTTAGTTCCAAGCACTACGATACCAAGGAATATCAGGGACACACTGAAAAGGAACATTATTAATACCACCAGATTAAAAGTCATAGATTTTCTAGGATGGAAAAATCTAGTTTTGAGAAAACAGTTGCATTTCCCACGAAGAAAAAATATTTACAAGAAAACAATATATAGCTAGAAAGAAATTGAAATATTAAAGAAAACCTGATATTTTCAAAAAAGGCAGTTTTTAAAATCACACTTGAGGAAATAAGTCTGAGATTTTCTTTCGAAGATAAAAGATATATCTGACAAAGTCAAATATGCTGGCCCATCACATAGTAATATTAACTACATTTTCTGATGATTGGAAAGAGAGTTGCCTGTTAAATTTTATGTTTAATGAATTAAGTTTTTTTTTTTAATATTACACTTCTCAATGACAAATTCCGTGAAAAAAAATGATTTCTTTTTTTTCTTCGTTTTTTTTTTCCCCCTCTCAAAAATGACAGATTTTCTGCTGGAAAATGTTAACAAATCTTCTAAAAGATACTTTTTTTAAAATGGAAATTTTTCCATCCTAAATCTCGTGGCGCAATTATTCCTTTTCGTGTCAGTGTGGAACTGTAGCTCCTCAGGACAAAAGATGTCTGTCTACCTGGAGAGCAGAATAAATAGAGCTGGAACACACTGGGGAGAAGAAGGCAAAGAAGACAAAGAAGAAGAAGAAAAATGGTATCACAGACAAAAAAAAAAAGCCAGGCTTATTGCGGAGTACAGTACAGCCACTCGAAACAGTTCACTCAGAGTCCACTGGAAGAAGCAGGGAGGAAAAAGCCCTCCTTCCCATTCAGACGCGTAGGATCTCCAGACAATTGTTGTAGCAGATGGCGATCCAGTCGGGCTGCGTGGAGGCCCACTGCACATTGTTGATCTCGCCCTCGGCCGTGTATGCCAGGATGGGGTCCTCGATGGCTCGCGGCATCTGCTGGATGTCCCAGATCAGTGCCTGGTGGTCGTCGGCTACCGCGGGAGGGGAAAAAAAAGAAAGGGGGAAAAAACAAAAACAAACGAGAGGTAGAATACATGTTTTTTTCCAAACATATGTGCAAACTCGTGACTTGGTGAAGCAGCGTGTGGTTCAGGGTTATTCTTGTAACTGACATCGGACACACATGTAGACTCAGCAGCCATAGATAGACACACACGATCCTACACATCCATAGCAAACACACTCCCATACACTGCACACATATGAACAAGTGGAGACTCACTCACACACACACACAATCTTTCTTCTTTCAAGGAATAAATCAGTCAGACAAAAAAAAAAAAAAAAACATGGTGTGTGATTTACCTGCGGTGCAGATGTGACATGAGGAGTGCGGCGCCCAGGCAATGCCATTGACACAGGCGCGATGGTTGTTGAGGCGAGCCACCGGCGTGCACGGCACACGCACATCGAGGATCACAACCTTGTACGCACAAACCGCAACGAGACTTGTCAGAGGCACACTGGTGTCAAGAGTGAAGGGTAATGAATTTAACTATCAAAGGCAATTTAGTTTTCAATGATGTCAGCATGTTTTTGTCAACATCAAAAGCCGATATAGTCCTAAAAGATCCGAACACGTTTTTCAAACAATTTAATTTTCAATCCAGTTAATACAAATGGTTCTGATGCCAGGTAATTTGCGCTGCTGAACGTGTTTGTTTAGAGTATAAGACTGACCTCCATGCCATCCATGGCCATGGTAGCCAGGTAGTTGGGGTCTTGCTTGTTCCAGCAGAGGCGCAGCAGCGGGTGGTGCTGGGGATCCTCATAGATGATGGTGCTGTGCTCCAGGTGCCGCAGGTCAAACATGCGCACCGAGCCGTCGGCGCCCACCGAGGCGAACATGTCGCGACCGCCGCCCGCCCGGCTGAAGGCGATGTCATACACCTGTGGGGAGGGGAATCACATGAAAACACTTGAGCTGGCCATTATGGCCTTAAAATAAAGTCTCTTTTTTTTCCTTTTACAAAAATCAAATCTCCAATTTTAAAGGAGGAATCACATTAGCAGTCATACGACGGGTGGGAAAAGTCACAAAGTTGACCGTGCTTTTTTTTGTAAACTAGCTCCGTTATGTTCGCAGCGATGTTTTTTGGCGCAAGAGTGCACATCAGCAACAAAACGCTTAGAATTAAAGAAGCACGCAAAAAAAAAAAAAAAAAATGGATGAATGGTTTCTTCAAATGGATTCACTGCCCAGCCGAGATCACACTAACCTCTTTGTCATGGGCGATGAGCTGCGTTTTGACGTGCCCTGACACCAGATTGACGCGGCCAAGAACCTGCCCTGTCTCCAGGCCCCAGATGGTGCAGGTGGTGTCAATGCTTGATGTGCCTGCACAGGGGGTAGGACACATCTCATTTCGGCAAGACAGCCCCTGAGATTATTCTTCTTCTTCTTACCCAGCAGGTTAGGGTCCACCTCGTTCCAGTCGAAGGACGTAAGCGGTGCACAGAAGTCTGAGTTCTTGTTGTTGTTTAGCAAACATTCAAGACGCGTTTCCGTGTCACTGACCTGCAATGTGGAGGACATTTTCAGTACTTGTTACTTCTTCTCCAAAAGAAAATGCACTAGATAAGGGTCGGAGAAGTACAACCCACTCTGTTCTGTATTCCAGTCAACGAGCATTTGCGCCAAAAAAAGTTTGATTGTTTAAGTTTCTTACCACACATTTCTATTCTATTTATTTATTGTTAGTTTTGTTTTTAAATAATCTACTTGAACCAATTTGTTAATATTGTAAAAGATAAACCAATATGCTAGCTAAACTTTTATTAGATTTCTTTTTTTTTTTTTGCATGGAGTACCATTTCCTGTTGTATGGTTGTCATCACGTTTATGTCAGTGATACATAAACACAAACAGACAAAGGGGGGAAAAAAGCACGTGAGTTCACCCAACGCACCCTCCAGATGCGCAGGTAGTCCCCGCTGGTGGCCAACAGGTCCGGGTAGACCCCCTTAGTATCTGGGATCCACATGATCTTGGTGGTGGGGTACGGGTGGTCAAACGTGTTCCTGCACACGAACTCTGAGCTCTCTTCTTCGAGACCCACCAGCTGGACCTAAACGCAGACACATAAACCAGAGCCAAGCGAAAGCGTTTGTCCGGCCTCACGCTCCAGTTCATTGCGTAGACCGTCCATGGCGCCTCGTATTTGTAGATTTCTTTTCTCTTTCCGTGCAGCGACATCCTAGCTGAGCGGAGCTAACAAGTTCGCGTTAGCTAACCGCGAATAAGTCTCCCCTCGGGAAGCGACCGCGACCACTTTTGTTCAACCCGTAAGAATAATTAATAGAAATTGTAGTGGTAGTCGCCGTCGCGTCGCGAAAACGCTAATGTAATGCAATACCACGGCCACTTTAGTCAACAAAGCGTGCCAGCCATAGCTCGTTCAGAACGACAAAGCTTTGTCAGGCTAGCGGACTACTAGGTTGCGACTTCCGTTTACGTCTTTCAAATTACGAGCTATATTTTGGGAAACATTCAATAGTTCTTTCACATCAACAATCATTTTGAACATTTAAATATTATTGACACCCGAGTGGATTTTACTCTAATTTATAATTAGGGCTGCTCACCATTGATTTCAAAATAAAACATTTCAGCCATGTCTCTACGAATTCCTTTCAAACCAACAACAAATAAAGCCATGCTACTAATACATTTTATAACATCGTAAATATGTACTATACACATAGGTAAGAGTAATTATTAATCATCATTACTTGGAAGAAAATCTTGAGTTTTCTTTCTGTTTTGTATATCGTCTCCTAATTGAAAACTTTGCCACGTAAATGATCTTTCAGGAGTTTCATTTTAATACGATTGGATTTTATACGGTGCTACTTAAAAACTTTGAAACAGCCTGTTCCGATGTTGATTTGAAGTTAAAATAAACGTCTAGATATGAACATGTGCCCTGCGACTAACTGGCGACCTCGGTCAGGGTGGAGTACCCCCCTTCGGCCCGAAGTCAGCTGGGGTTGGCTCTAGTAAGACCCGCAACCCTCTTTCAGGATAAGCAATGTTGAAAAAGGATGAAGGATAGATATGAACATATTTATGCTGTCTCGCCATTGGGAAGTCCAACGTCAGCTCGCGTTGCGGTCATGCCCAAACTCTCGCGTTGACAAAGGAAGTCTCGCCGCCTTAGTTTTACTTTGAGAGGTTAAATCCGTGTCAAGCTTCCTCCAGCCACCCGTTGCAGTAAATGAGAATATTTGGGGACTGTTTGAGAGCAGATATCGTAACGCGAATCCAACAGGAAGGGTCCGGTAAGCTGGTAGAATTCTTGTACTTGAATCTGTTCAATAAGTGTTATGGTGTCACTTTTCATTTGTGAGCTCGGGCTTGTGGTCGCTAGTTAGCATGCTAGCGGCAGAGCTGGTTCGTAAGAAAGTGATAGGGGGGATGGTAGGGTGCAGGGGTCTGATTACGTGTGGGCTGAGGTATTCAATCCCACAAAAACTGACAGGTGTCCAAGGTGAAATTGCGCATATAAGCAACGCTACAGTTTTATTAGCTGTATTATGACAACGTGTCTTCGTCGAATACGTTGCTAAGGTGGCGTTTGCGACACAGTTTGATCTTGAAGAGTCTACTAAGGTAGCTAATTAAAAAGTCTTGTACTCTAATTTCCTCCATTGAATGACAAAACAAATTGGTGGGGTTGTTAACAAGTCCTGATCAAATGTATTTCAGGATGACAGGAGAAAGATGATAAACCTTGGATGATTACATCACTTTTCCCTTTCTTGTTTGGTGGAAATCCTGCACAGGCTCCACCATGCGACATTTATCTATCCTGCTGCTCCCACTGTTCCTCCTGCTCCTGGCCTTCCCAGTCTCCGGTGGACGCTACAATGATGACTTTGATGATGGCGAGGACCTGGCTGACTTCGACGACAACGACTTTGCCGAATTTGAGGATATGAGCGATGATGCAGTGCCCGAGGCTGGCACCGCCCCGCCACCTGCTCGGGGCAGCCCTTCTTTGCGGCCTGACGAAGACGAGGATGAAAACGAGGCCACAGTGGAGTTGGAGGATGGCCAAGATGGTTTTGATGACTCGGATGCCCAAGTAGGATTCACTTGTGAGAGTACAGTAGTGTGTACGTGTGTGGCGAGGGGAGTAGAGTAGGAGTATGTTTTTAAAAAGTTATCTGACGGTGGTTGCGTGCTTGTGGGGAGGCGGGGCTGTAATATATTGCTGTTTATGGTTACTTAAATTTTGATACAAATAGGTTTCAGAAATTATGTTTAATGCAAATTTCTGATATGTTTTCCTCAGGATCAGGACATTTACAGTAAATATGACCAGGAGGAGTTTGAGGGTATTGGCGACATGGAGAAGACTGGGCACCCCATGAAAGACCCCCTCATAATCCATACGGTAAATCTGATTTAACTCTTAAAGCCTCTCTTTAGATTATTGCCGTCACTTGTCTTTCTTTTGCCTGCACAGTATAGTTATCAGATGCATCCTGAATATTCAAAACTAGGCCAAAGTTTAGTTGTTGTTTTTTTAACACTCCTTAACATTGTTTAAAGCAAGGCATTATGAACTTAAGAATTGTCTTTAAACAAATAAAGCATGATTAAAGTATTAATTTTCATGTTTACAGCAAGATCTCTAAAAATCCTTTTTGAACTGCCAGGCATGTTTTCAAAGGTTCTCTACTGTTTAAAGAAAAGTCAAATTAAATTTTCTGTGCACCCGCAAACGCTCCCTAAAAGGTTCAAGATCTTGTTTTTTGTTGTTGTTGTTTTTAAATAACATTCCCTATTGTTTAAACAGGACGTCAGGTCAAATATTGTTTATAACATTATTTGTTTGCCCCGACTAGTCTAAACACAACATTCTGTTTATTATTGCGTTTGTAGAATATGAGTTAAGCAGCAAAATCCACCAGTTTTTATTTATCTTGTCCCTGCATCCCCCCAATAGAAACTTGTTGTTTGCTTGTGTTCAGGTTCCAGCCCATCTTCAGAACAGCTGGGAGAGCTACTACATGGAGATCTTGATGGTGACGGGCCTGCTGGCCTACATCATGAACTACATCATCGGCAAGAACAAGAACAGCCGCCTGGCTCAGTCCTGGTTCAACTCTCACAGAGAGCTGCTAGAGAGCAACTTTGCTCTTGTCGGTGAGTTGCCCGTGGTCACCATTTTTTTTATTATTATTATTATTTATTTTTATGATGATGCAACAACAACTGGAAATGGATGATTGTGCACACAGGTGACGACGGCACCAGCAAAGACGCAGTGAGTACGGGAAAGCTCAATCAGGAAAATGAACACATCTACAACTTGTGGTGCTCTGGACGTGTCTGTTGTGAGGGAATGCTCATACAGCTCAAGGTAAAGGACCAGGGTGTGCGTGCGTGTGTGTGGTACTGTGTATGGGTTTGTGTGGTAGTTTGGTGTGTATTAGTATTTTAGTTTGGAAGGGTAAGTATCGTACTTCAGTGGGAGGGTAGTGTGTGTGTAGAGTTAGTATTGTGTATATGGAAGGGGGTAATATTTAAGCCAGGTTTCGCGTGGGTCTGAATTGGGTGGAGTACTGTAGTGTTTGCGGGGGTGTTAGTGTAGTGCGTGGGGAGGTAGTATTGTGGGTGCGCGGCTAGTGAGGCGTGTGTGGTGGATAATGTGTTTTTGTGTATGTGTTCACATTTAATGGTGCATGTTTATGCGTTTGCAGTTCCTGAAGAGACAGGACCTGCTCAATGTTCTGGCCAGGATGATGAGGCCCACCTGTGACCAAGTGGTTGGTATCAAGTCAACAGCAGTGTTAACACATTCCCATAATATCCGCTACGTGTAGCGAGAAAGCGCACATAGTTGTGTTGTTGTCAAATACACTGGCCAAGATGGTTTTGATGACTCGGATGCCCAAGTAGGATTCACTTGTGAGAGTACAGTAGTGTGTACGTGTGTGGCGAGGGGAGTAGAGTAGGAGTATGTTTTTAAAAAGTTATCTGACGGTGGTTGCGTGCTTGTGGGGAGGCGGGGCTGTAATATATTGCTGTTTATGGTTACTTAAATTTTGATACAAATAGGGTTCAGAAATTATGTTTAATGCAAATCTCTGATATGTTTT